GCTTTCTCAAGCCACACGCGCTGGAAGGGAGTCTTGGCGCGGCGCGCGTGCGTCGCGTCGACGGGGCAGAGCTAGCGTAAACAAACGCACTTGATTTGATGTGGCTGTGCTGTTTTTTGTTTGTTGATTCAAATTGATTGGCGCGCGCGGATTGGGTGGACATCTTCGCGATTCTGAGCGCGCCGCCGGACGCGCTTGGCGAGTTTATGATCAAATTCACAGACGGCGTTGCAGAGTCGCACAGAATGGCGAGCTGGAAGAGCAAAGCCCACAAGCATGTCGGGGGGTTACCTTTTGATCGATCACCGGCGAGCAAGCGCTTCGCTGATCACGTGTTCACGCCAGTTCGCACTCTGCCTGGCAGAAAACCAGTTGCTCCCCTCGACGTGCATCCGCACGGCTCGCTCTCGCACGTGAATGCGGCGCCCGTGCATTGCTCGGCAGGACCCGCGCAGCAGGGACTCAGGCAATGCATGCGCATGTATGCTCCAGGGTCCAGACACTTCGAGGATCAATCGCGGTGGTTAGCTTGTCAGACTCCGCTACCAAACGGAGCTCATAAGGTAAAGCGTGAGAAGTTCGCAACTTTACACCCTCATTGAGCGGGCCTCGGATTTGAAGTTCGTGGCAAAGCACCGTTTGCGAAGGATCAGGTCTCACAAAAACTGTCCTCGTTGAGGTCGATCGGATTATACAGGGCTTGAGAAGGTGTGATCGACGCATTGCGCTGGGCGAGATGAGGACCGTCTACTCGTTTCGGGAATGCCCTCCAAGCACTTTGTATGAAATGCTCTTCTCTTGATGGCGTACGGCTTCTGAGAAAAAGGTCACCTGAGCCAAGTCTTTGAGTTCTCGTTGTGACTCCTTTGAAGCGTTCCGGCCGCGGCGAGCTGGGTTTACTTCAGAGGCGACTCGCGTCGGGCACCAAGTCAAACTTGGCCAGCGCACGAGTAATTTTGTTGGCGAGCCAAGCGAGGCATTGCCAAACACTGATCAAGACCGTCAGAGCAACAAGGAGCGCAATCGCATAATCGTAGATCAATGCGGGGGACGAAGATCGATACCAGTTGAGCAGAACGATGCACTGTAAGAGACTGCGAGCGGAGGATACGAGATCAGCTAAAAATATCCAGTCGTGTCGGAATGTCTTGAACATGA